CTCAGGGAACCAATAGAATTTTAGGGGTAAGTAAGTCATTTCAGAGGCAGAAAGTGAGATAGAGCCTCTGGGCCAGGGAACCTGATGGTGCCAGCAGGAGAGCAGTGGCCCTGCTCTGGGTCCCTGCCGGTATTTTTATGGGGCTTCCCGCCTCAAATACACGTTGCCGGTAGCATTTATTTTTACTAAAATGCCTATTTACTCCTTCAGTGAAATTGTTTGGACATCTCAGCCATGTGCCCACAAATGCCTCTGGTTAGTGTCGGCGTTGTCCATTTTAGATTTGCTGCTTTGGGGGAGACTGCTGCCTTGGCACCTGTGTCTGCTCCGAGATCAGGGACTTTGCCCAGTGCTGTGCTGTGGGCATGACTCTCAAAGACCAGCAGCTGCTCAGCTTTTGGGGCCTCTCTGCTGCACAGCCAGCGTATGGATACTGAATGGAGCCTGGCACGTCTGTATTCCCAGAGTTACTTGTAAATAAGAAAGGACTTCTAGGGAGAGGAATGAGAGCCTGAAAAGGAATAGATGGACTTTGGGAAATTCTACTATGTCTGGCAGTCGGGAGCTGGGGCTCAGGCAATTTAACTTTAAAAACATGTAAGGATGAATGACACTGTCAGATTGGATAGCTTACCAGTTACCTCCTCTCCTCACTGTGGCCAATATTTTTGGGTCGAGAACTTCCTGGTAATTATAGTTTCCTGTCATTATGCATTGTCAAAACTCAATTATAATATCTTCACTCTAAATATATTTCTCAATTCCAGTAGGCTTCTAAAACTTGTGACCTGCATTCTACCTACATATGAATTCCTGTTTCGAAATTTCCTCTGGTCAATGTGAGTCATTCCCAGAGTCAATAAGTGATTCTTTTCAGCACATAATCAGGTACATTTGAATCTCTTTTCCCCCACATAGATCGCTGGGGACACTTGGTTCTCTGGCCATGAAGCTTCCTATTTTTTGTCATTAACACACCCCCATTCTAATATAGCTTTTCTTTTTCCAAGTGGAAATTTCTGAGCTCTAATGGGTGGTCAGTTTACTCATTTTGGAAAAAATGTTTCATTTATTCAGTAAGCATTTGTTATTGTGTATTTTGCTTCACACCAGACTAAATAAGTTTTCCTCATTTCTCATTATCTTAGTTTTTCTTTTAAGTTAAGGAAAACAAAAATACTTCCAAGATAAAATGAAACATTTTTTCCTACTGTTTTGCTCCTAAATGCTAAAGTATTAAAGTAAAGCAAGGATAAGCTCTGGCTGTGTCTTTTCCAAGTCATCTTCTATTGAGGTAGCAAATGGGATGCTCACATCCCCCTGATGGGGAGAGAGGTACCATTTTCCAACTGCTGTGGTCTGCAGAATTTGGGAAATTCTCCCTGGTAAAATGGTACAGTGATCTAGACTAGACCTCTTTTAACATTCAGGGTTCTGTTTTCCCTCAAGAATAACTATTTTACCTTTATTAGGAAGAAAATTATTTCCAAATACGTGTATTAGTCAGGGTTTTTGGTTGTAAGCAATAGAAACCAACTCTGGATGTTAAGCAGGAAGTATTTTAAGAGGCCAGAGGAGGAGCTTCTGTTTAAAGGTGGTAATTTGAAGACAGACATTTACCTCTGCTGCCTCCTAACACCTCTCTAAATGACAATAAAGGGCATTAAAAAATGACATAAACCCACAGTTAAAGAGAGTAAGACAGGTAACAACAGTAACAGAGTTTTCGAAAACAGAAAGGAGATCAAAGAGTAACTTGTTTAGTATCTGGAGAAAGTTGAATCCTAAGCTGGAAAACTGACTTGCACTAAAGACACTTCTCAGAGGCTCAGAAATTGATAGTACTCGGTATTTCTCTGAGATGAGGCTGAAACAGGGTGATTTGTAGATACAAGAAGCAGTTAGGTCCTAATATTTTTCCCAACTCCACATGGCCAGGCAAATATGCCCTTCCCTGCTCCAGCAGAAGATTGGAGATTATTCTCACGGGGAAGCAAAGCAGAATGCTTTAGTCAGAACAAAGTCAGGCTGCTATGACAGATCTGAGAATGATTCAGTGGCTTAAAGGAGCTACCCGCTGATTTCTTCTAATGAAACAGAGCTTTCAATTAGCTTTTTGTGGGTAACAGCTTAACTGAGGTATACTTCACACGTCATACAATCTACAATGGCTACAACTGAGTGGTTTTTAGTATATTCAAAGAGTAGTGCAGTCATCACCAAAATCAATCTTAGAACATTTAATCACCTCCCCCAAACATCCCATATCCCTTAGTAATCATTCCTCTTCCCCAACTCCTTTCCCTCGCCCGAGGCAACCACAAAGCTACTTTCTGTCTCTGTAGATTTGCCTATTCTGGATTTCATATAAATAGAATTATGTTTTTAAAGTTTATCCATGTTGCAGTAAGTATCAGTACTTCATTTCTTTTTATTGCTGAATACTATTCCATTGTATGGCTAGACCACATTTTATTTATCCCTTCATCCATCAGTTGATGGACATTTGGGTTGTTCAGCCATTTCACTATTAAGAATAATGCTTCTGTGACAATCAGTTTTTAGTGTCTTTCTTTAGTGCTTATTTTTATTTATTATCTTTTATTGAGGGGTAGTTGATGTACAATATTACAGAAGTTAACAGGTGTTCAACACCTGTGAGTCTGTTTCTTTTTTGTTATATTCACTAGTTTGTTTAATCTCTTAGATCCTACATGTAAGTGACATCATATAGTTTTTGTCTTACTCTAACTTATTTCACTAAGCATAACAGACAGCTAAGGATCACTGGGCATTTTAGTCAGAGAACGTAATGCCTTACAAACGTAACACTTCAAAGGAGGTTATCTTTTCCAGGGAGGTACCTTCTTTCCCCCTTGGTCCCTGGCATTCGGTGACACTTCCTCCAGCTTTTCTCCTATGAAGTTGCAGTGATGCAGCAGTTGGAAGGTATGGAGGCAAATGACAAGCATCAGGTTTTCCATGTGTCACAGCAATCATTGCTTGAGCCTATTTCCTTCAGGCCCCAACCACCCATAATAATGATGATGGATTACTCTCTGGTTAGCACAACTGCACTTGGTATAAAAAGGCCAGGTGAACAGATTGAATCTCTATAAAAATGTTCGTTTTATCATTTCCTTTTAGCTTTGCTAATAATCCCGGGGTCAGGGTACCCAGGAATTGGCAGTAATAAAATTCTGAAACTTCTCATACCCTTTGACCCCATAAACAGTTTTGCACTTGGGTACCCATCACAAGTAATAGGGTGATATAAAATGAGTAATATATGCAGAGATTCAGAGTATTGCTACTAAAAGAGCAAAAATACTGGAAATGGATAGAATATAATGGAGTTATAAAAATTACAAATAAGGTAACTATTAACATCTACAGATTCATTAAAAATACTTATTCAGTGCTTCCTCTCTGCCTGAAATTGTTATTCCTGCCAATGAGTCTATAAAATAAACATTCAGGGGGAAATAATTAGGATTCAGTTAATTCTGGAGAATACAAAAATGAATAAGAAATCTCTTTTAAAAATTTATATCTTAGTTGGGGAAATTAAAGGGGCAAGATGATAGTAGTTAAATACAGGTTTCTGTTGGCAATAGATCTAGGTCCAGCTGCTGGCTCCACCTTTGCTAACTGTGTGATTTCAGAAGAGATCATTTCTTTAAGTATCAGTTTGTTTGCTTGTCTCAGTATGAAAAATGAGGATAATAATGATTCCCACCTTATAGGATTAGATCAGATCATGTGAAAGTAGTAAACATAGTGCCTGGCACATTGAAAGTGTTTAACAAATGTTAGCTATTCTTATTATCATCATATTTATGTTAATAAAGACACACTACAAATGCCACTCATTTCTTCCCCTGGCACTGACAGCACTACACTCTCCTAGTCCTCCTCCTCCTCCTCCCTGGCTGCTCCTCCTCAGTCTTCTCGGCTATGTCCTCACTTTACCAGAGCTCTGGAAGCTGGAGCTCTCCTGGGCATGGTTCTTGGCTCTCTTCTTTTCTATCGTGTGCGTGCACGCGTATCCCTTAACTGCTTATTGTAGATATAGAGGATTTTACTGTTTTTATCTTTTAACCTCCCTCCTAGCTTTGTGGATGATTACCTACCTTGATTGTATGTTTGCCTTTACTAGTGAGCTTTTCCGTTTCATAATTTTAAAAAGTTTCTAGTTGTGGCCTTTTCTTTTCCACGTAGGAAAGTTCCTTTAGCCCTTGTTGTACAGCTGGTTTGGTGGTGTTGAATTCATTTAGCTTTTGTTTCTCTGTAAAGGTTTGATCTCTCTGTCAAATCTGAACAGGAGCCTTGCTGGGTAGAGTGTCCTTGGTTGTAGGTCCCTCCCTCTCATCACTTTAAATACATCGTGCCCCTCTCTTCTGACCTGCACAGTTTCTGCTGAAAAATCAGCTGATAGCTTTACGGGAATTCCTTTGTATGTTACTTGCTACTTTTCCCTTGCTGCTTTTAATATTCTTTCTCATTAATTTTTGTCATTTAATTAACATGTGTCTTTGTGTGTTCCTCTTTGGGTTCATCTTGTATGGGGCTCTCTGTGCTTCCTGGACTTGGGTGACTTTCCTTTCCCAGGGTGGGTATGTTTTCAGCTATTATGTTTTTAAACACGTTCTAAGTCCCTTACTCTCTTCTCCTTCTGGGACCCCTCTAATGTGAATATCAGTGCTCTCGATGTTGTCCCAGAGGCCTCGTCAACTGTCCTCATTTCTTCTCATTCTTTTTTCTGTTCTGCAGCACTGATCTCCACTACTCTGTCTTACAGCTCACCGGGTTGCTCCTCCATATCATTCTCTCTCCTGCCAAATCTTGCTAGTGTATTTTTCATTTCCGTTAGTGTGTTCTTCATCTGTTTGATTGTTCTTTATATTTTCTAACTCTTTGTTAAAACCTTCTGACTTCTCACTCTGTGCATTCATCTTTTCCCAAGGTGTTTCATCCTCTTTATGGTCATTACTCTAAACTCTTTTCTTGGGTAGATGGCCTATCTTCACTTAGTCCTTCTTCTGGGGTTTTATCCTGTTCCTTTGTCTGAACATGTTCCTCTGCTGCCTCACTTGGCCCGTGCTGCTGTCTGTATTGTTAGGTATGTGTTAGGTTAATCGCACTTCTCGACCTTGGAGAAGTGGCCCTCTGCAGGAGAAGTCCTGTGCATCCTGACAGGGCACTCCCCTCTTGTTACCCAAGCTGTATGTTCCAGGGACTCCCCCTAAGAGGGCTGCGAGGGTCCTTCTGTTGCGGTGGGCTGACTGTGTGGCTGGTCTGGTAGACTTGGTTGGCCCCTGGCCCGGCTGGTTGCCAGGCTCTGCCTTGGGCGGATGCTGCTGTCTGTTGGTTAGCGGGGCCTGGTCACATGGCAGCTGACTGCAGAACCTTGTGGGCCCTGGGGCTAGTGTCAGCTCACTGGTGCATGGAGTCAGGGCCTAGAAGACTCTGGGGCTGTACTCCTCCCCCTGCCCCGCTTACTGGTGGGTGAAGCCAGGTCCTAGGGTTAGTCCTGGACTACTGGCAGGCAGAGCTGTGCCCTGGAGTCTGGCTGCAGGTCCCAGGGATCCCAGAGCTGGTGTCAGATCACTTGCAAAGGGGGCTGGTTCCGGACACAGTAAAGTGTGGGGTCTGGGGTGTCCTGAAACTTGTGTTGGCCTGCCAGTGGGCAGGGCCGGGGCCCAGCTGGCCTGTGTGGTTGGGCTGGATCTGTAGGCTGTGGGATTGTGGTTTTGTTGGGTCTTGCAGCACATTTTCTTTATCCATTTAAATATTGATTGACATTTAGGTTGCTTCTACATCTTAGCTATTGTGAATAATGCAGCAATGAACATGAGTGCACAAATATCTCTTCAAGATTCTGTTACCAATTCTCTTGGATATATACCCAGAAGTAGGAGTGCTGGGTGATACAGTAATTCTATATGTAATTTTTTAAAGGAAACTCCATAGTGTTTTCCATTAGCAGATGCACCATTTTACATTCCCACCAACAGTGCACAAAGATTCCAGTTTCTCCATATCCTCACCAACACTTGTTTTCTTCCCTCCTCTTCCTTCTTTCCTCCCCACCCCCTCCTTTTTTTTGGACAATAGCCATCCTAACAGATATGACGTGATGTCTCACTGTGGTTTTGTAGAGCAATCTTTTAAAACATTGATGTCACATTCCTGCTTAGAACTTTCCCGTGGCTTAACCTGTACTTAGAATGACATCTAAGTACCTTACTTTTTGCTCTCTAAGGTCCTCCCAAGTCTGGTCTCTGTCCACTCTCTAGCCTTCATCTCCATCTTCAGTTCTTCTTGCTTACAGTGCTCCAGTCCTGATGACTTTCTCTGACTCCCTGACAACTCTGCATGGCCTTCTCCCAGGGCGGTTGCCTGTGCGGTCCCTTCTGCCTGGCTAGTCTTTCTTTTTTCACATGGCTGGTTCCTTCTCATCACTTAGATCTTAGCTCATATTCTGCCACCTCAGAGCTGACACACCAGCTGTCCCATCTGAAGTCCCTTTACCAGACACTCTAAAGCATAGCACCCCATTCTGTTTCACTTTTACCCTCTCTAGCACCTGAAATCACTCGTTGAAATTGCTGTTGGCCTGTTCAGTGCTTGTTATCTAACTAAGAACTATATACTTCATCAGACCAGGAAGCCTGTGTGTCTTGTTCATAGTGATGTGTACAGAAGAGAGCCTGATGGGATTTGACGATAAAGTGCAATGGAAGCATAGATCTGGGGAGTGCTTCACGGAGGATGTAACATTTCATTTGGGTTTTTGAGAATAAATGATTGCGTCAGGCAAATATCAGAATGAGGTAGGGGACACACTGGGCTGAGGAAATGGCCTGGTGTATGCCAAGGAAGCACGTAGCCCTGCCCGTTCAGGGAAAGGTGACCTGATATGGCTGAGTATAAAGGTTCTCGAGAGGGAGGGGTGGGCAGCAAGGCTGAAAAGGCAGAGGGCAAAGGTGGCAGATGTTGAAGTCATTTCAGTTTTGCTGTTTAGTTAACGATGCGTTAGGTTTGAAGATGCAAAGGTGAATTAGACATAGTTTCAGGGCTGTGATGGGGAGTCACGTGTAGCTTTGGAGCAGGGGAATGGCATGAGCATCCTACAGGGGTCGGGATGCGGCCGTGATTACAAGCAGAGTGTCTGGGAGCAGGTGGCTTGGAATCAAATCCTGGCTCTACCACTGGCTAGCTCTGTGACCACAAGTTCTTAACTCCTTGTGGCTTACTTTTCTCATTTGTAAGGAGAATAGTTGTAGTGTTCTCTTGGCTTTCTTGTAAGGATTAAATTAATTAATGTTTGTAGAATGGGGTCTGGCCAGCTATCATGTAACTCGTCTAAAACAATGTCTGGTAGATAGTAAGTTTTCTTACTACGCTTCCTTGTGACTTTGCTAAGTTGTTTACTTGCTAGTTTTCTTTCTCTACAGAAAGATGATTAGCGTGAGTGTAGATAATTGTTGAAAAGGGGGAGACAATGGACCCAGGAAAACTACATGGGAAGATACTGCAATAGTTGAGGCAAAAAGGAAAGAAGCACAGAGCTAGGTTAAAGCAATGAAAATCAGTAAAACTGACTGGATGTTGCAGGACAGAATATGATTTGGGATATAAGAAAGTGGATTTAGGTTCTGGGTCTTGAGTTTAAGGTACCTGAGGAAAACCTTTGTTTGCTGATGTTTGGCTGAAATGATAGGGAAGGAGACCTCGGAGATTTAAGACAAAGAGGTGAGTAAAATGGATTTCCACTCTGGAAATGAGGATGTGCACTTTAACAAAGACTGCAGAGTATTTAGTTTGAAGCTGTCATTTACCTATTACATTGGCAAAGAAACAAACACAGTATTTTAAGCTTGTCTTCTACTCTTACACTTTGCTGGCAGTAGTGTACATTTGTACAATCTTTCTGGAAAACAGGTTGGCAACATTTATCATGAAACTTACAGATGCTTATACCCCTTGACCCAGTTATTTCCCTTTTTGGAGTCAGTGCTAAATTAGTGATCCAAAATGCAGACTGATTATGTACAGACCTGCTCACTGCAACAGAACATTCAACTGAAAATACTTGTAAACAGGCTCACTCAATGATATGAAAATGATTCCATAAATTATGGTATGTTCATATGCTAGAATATTATGCAGCCATTAAAAAACCATATTTACTGAGGCTTGTAATGTGAACTGATATGAGAGAGAAAAACCTGACAAGGACACACAATTATATGCAGAATATAAATTCAAATCTGGTATAAATAAGCATAGTGTAAGGATTAGAAGACAATATACTAAAATGCCGCTGTGGATTATTTCTGTCTGGGAGACTGAGGCATGCGTTGATGATTTGTAGTAGTCCAGTAACTGAGTTTGAATTAGGATCAGATAATACATTCTGTCTTATTTAAAAATGTTCCCTGTTCTCCTAATGCATCTGCTAATATTCCGTTACTAATGCAACCGTTGTCTTTGGTTCAGACCATACCTTCTATTACAAGTCCTGGCCATGTTGCCTTTCTTTTCTTTCTTTTCTTTCCTTCTTCCTTCCTTCCTATTTCTTTCTTTCTTTTTCTTTTTCTTCCTTTTCCTTTTTCTTTCATGCAGTCCATCCATCAAAGGCTTAGCACCCCAAATCTCATTTTCAAATTAGTTAATATCACATCATTGTATAATTTTGAGTGTGCCACCAGACTATTAATGACACTTCCCTCTCCCCTAGCTTACAGAGATGATCATTCACTTTCATTTAGAGGGGCACCATTTTTACACAAGAGATTCCCTGGATATGTCAGAGACAAGAGATCAGTACAATGCATCATCACTGAGAGGGTAATTTGTCAACAGTCCTCCCCTCAGCAGCACACCCAAGCAGCTAAAAGAAAGCCAGTCGCCCCCAGGAATACATGTGATAGGGAGCCAATGGGTATGAAGAGTGTACCCACCAGTTGTTGAACTGGATTGCAAATATCCCAGAGCTGGACAAAACCTGCATCATGCCTTAACTTTCAAGATGTTAATGGTGAATAAGCAATGTTGTCTTAGGGCTCCAGGAGGACCAGTCTCTCTCTCCCTTAAACACACACACACACAGAGTTTTGATATCCAACCCAGTCCCAGCTCTCCAGCCACTCTTGCTAAGGACAAACCTTGATGGAATCACTGTTCTTCACTATAGGAGGCATGTTTTCGCTCTTCTCTGTAGGTAAAAGGCTACCGCAGAATGGTGAACCTCACCGTGAGTGTTTCCCAAAGGAATCTTAACCATACTTTCTAAAATCTAAAAGGGGATATGTGACCCATGGAATGGATTTTGCTGTAAGGTCTTCCAGGACCTTTTGGGCACTTTTGATCAAGTTGGGAGAATTTTCTGCTTGAGTCCCAACTACTCAAGGTAGAAGGCAGAAAACTGCCTTTCCCTGCCTTCCTAATACTCTTACAGAGCGCTGGCATGTGAGTGGTAGGAGCTGACAACCAAACTCACATGGGACTCCAATTCAGGAGTGAGGGATACAGGCACATGTGGAGAGGGTTGTGGCAGGCTGAGGCTGGTGGATTTGAGGGCAATGGGGAGGGAGATGCAGGACGATGGGGGCTTTCCTGGAACAATCTTACAGTCTGATCTAGGCATTGGTTCCTGGTGGGGCAGCCTCTAAATCCAACTCTTTGGTCCTAAAATGGTACCTGTCTGCTTTCAGATAGGCCTTCCAGTCAGTGGCTTAGTTCAGAGTCATTCCATCATGTTTTGCGAAAACATTTCCTTTAATAGGTGGGTCTTTTCTTTCTTTCATTAATTCATCCCTATTTAAAGATTTTTGCATACAATACCCAAAGTTTAATCAGGAAATACTAAAATATAACACTAAGCACATTCATACAGAATTCTGTACAGCCATGCATACAAATACCCACAGTTTAACTGGGGAATACTAAAATATAACACCAAGCATATTCATATAGAATTCTAAACAGCCCTGAAAATGGAGGAAACTACCGTTATATTTAGCAACAGAGACTCTTCCAAATTTCAAGAAAACATGCCAGACACAAGATCTACATACTGTGAGTCCATTTATAGAAAGTTACAATGACAGGCAAAACCACACTGGTGGTATTCATGAGGATGTTGGTGAACTTTGGAGAGGCACAAGCCGAGCTTGTGGAAGGCTAATGTGCTATTTCTTGATCTGGAGAGGGGATTCATGAGTGTGTTACATTAATGATGTGTACTTTTCTGTGCTTTACACTTCTCCTCAATTTATGTCTTTTTTTTTTTTTAACATCGCATCAGTATTCAGTCTGGTACACTGCTGATATAATCTGCACACTGCTGGTGCAGTTTTATAGAACTATTTTATGTATTTAGTCCTTAAGAGTTAGCTTCTTTTTTAAGTTTGAAGAAAAAAATTTCCATACATGGAATTCTAAACATAGTTTAGACCTAAGGACTACATTTCAGTTTATTCAAATGAAACGTAAAAATTGGTGTGACAAGATTTACAATGTCAAGGACTCCTTCTCAAGGGAAAGAATGCAGCCTGGTAAGTGTTTAGGAGAGCTGTGCTCTCAGCCTCTTCTTTAAGACTCTCCCAATCCTGTTTGAGATTTGCAAATGTTAGCCACTATATACAAAAATAGATTAAAAAAAACCAAATTTCTTCTGTACAGCACAGGGAACTATAGTCAGTATCTCGTAATAACCTTTAATGAAAAAGTATGAAAACAAATACACATATGTATATGCATGATGGGGACATTATGCTGAACGCCAGAAATTGACACACTGTAACTGTACTTCAGTTAAAAAAAACCTCTCCCAACCCCTTCTCTCTCATTACAGAAGGATCTTTAAACTATGCCTCTGAGAAACTCTGGCTTCGTGAACAAGGCCCTGTGCATGAGGCCTCATTTTCCACTTCACAAAAACGAAAGTGAGATAAAAACATGTTTTAAAGAACGGTAGTTTCACACGATTTAACTGAAGCTCAGCTCTGGGGGGGGGGGAGGGGGAAGAACAGTAATTAGGAAAAGAAAGAAAACGAATGAAAACACAGCAGAGAATCAGACCAAATGGGAAGCAGACAAAGGCAGCCAGAACTATCTCATTTATTATAAAGATACACCCAGAAGAACAGACCTGACTGGATACTGAAGCCTGGAATGGTACATGCCAAAATGTACAGTACTATACAGAAAAGTGCATTGTCACAACAGATTAACAAAACATTTTTTTTCCCTTCCAGAACTAGAAAAGCATCCCCCTTTTCTCTCACCTCAGAGGCGAGGGGCTGTCACGGTAAGAGGCAGTACAGAGCGGAGGCGAACGCGATGGCCGGCAGCAGCACGTGAGCTGGGGTGGCGGCGGGGAGGGGCGGGACCCGAGGAGGGAAAGGCACAGTCACGGCTACAAGGAAAACGAGACGCCTGATGACCGACAGGGACGCAAGACAGGACGATACTGAGCACCGAGGCACAGAAAGGTGGGGATGGCGAAGTAGCTGGGAGAGAGTCGGGGGAGTTTCGAAACACTCAAGTGGGCGCTGGAATCTGGGAGGGGTGGTGGGGGGAGGGGGGAGGTGGAGGGGAGGAGGCGGACGGGGCAACAGTAAAGAGCAAGGCTACAACTCCTCTAAAATAGAAAGGCACTTTCACATGTACATACTACAGATGTACATTGACACGATTAGGCAACAGTCACAAGCAGGAAGCCACCAGTACTGCAACTGATCAAACCGACAGGAAAGGACAATACTGATATAATTACGCCGGCAGGAGTTACCCTTCAGTCTGTAGGTAAATAGCAGTCTCTCCTGTTACACAGCCACTTACTATACTTTAAACATCTATAATAACCATCACACTACACACTGAACTTGGATGAATGCTCTAAGGGGGGCATTCACAAATGCACGGCTTATATATTTTCTTTTACTAAACAGTTTCTAAGATAAGCATCATAGAACCCAGTACAATTATTTAAACATACAAAACTCCCTACATAATTTAAAGATACAGGTACCCATTTTGATTATACCAGGTAGATTTTTTTTTAAAAGACAGTACACTAGGGTGGGCAAGTGAAAGCTCAATTTCCAGTTTGCTTTACTGATTTGACAAAGCTGTGCCACAGTCACCCTGGTCCACGCCTGACACCCCAGCCCAGCTGGAGTTTGGGTTTTAGCTCAGGGGCTAGTCTGGAGCAGGGAGCTCTACTCTACTCGTGGGAAGAGATTTCACTGCTCAGCTGCCCACACTCAGGGCCTCTGCGGTGGGTAACTTATAGTTAAGACTCAGTCCCAAGAGCATTTCCTGCATTCGTGGCCTCTTGCTACCGTGGTTGGGAATAAATGTCATCCCAAATCTAAAGTCTTCCAAACCCCTCAGCAGACCCATAGGCTCTTTGACTTTGGACTTCAGAGGCCGTAATTACCAAATTAAAATTTCTTGTTTGTAGACCCCAGAGGTGATGCTTGATTCTCAAATGTTAAGGAGACCACTACATCCCCTCTTTTTTTCTTTTTCTTAAATAATTAGAAATCCATTTTGGGAATGACGAAAGTACAAAGACAGAAAACTCAATTTGACCCTTGGCGCTCTACATCCATTGATAATTGTTCATGCTCACTGCAGTAGCTTAAGTGTCACTCTGCTGTACGTTATTCTATGGGTTGCTCAAGGGGCACCCAAGTCAGATCACATTGTGTGAAAACATGTGAAACTGTTGAACTCTACTGCATTTATGCCGAACTTGAACATGGAGTGTTACAAAGAGCCATTTGACAGACTGAAATCATTTACAGAACACTCATTGGAAAACGTGTTTAAGAACCGTTCACTCTATCCTGACAATCCACTCCAAACATCCCCTCTCCAAAACCCAAAGGCCAGTTTAGTAAATCTCCTTCAGTGAGTTCTATGGATGGGACATAAACATTCAGTAATTTCAGCTGGGAATACATATTCTTGTGTAAATGGAGTCAGATCATCTTTGTAGAACCATCATTTACCCATCATCAAAATGACCCTCTTCCCAAACTGCACATGAGGACCGATGAGATCCTTGAGACTGAGGCATAACATCTCAGGGACTGACTTTTCTTTCTTCTCTCCCCATTCCTTGTGCCTTCCCACCTCCCCACTGTGTGTGACACCTGTGGCTATAAAGCGGACCACGAACAGGTGAACCCTCTCCGCTGCTGAAACTTTTATGCAACTTACTGAGTGTTATTTGGATTCTTTGTGAAGTGGCCACTTTGACTCATCCCTGGAATCTGAGGACTTTGACTAAACAAAGTAAGGGTAAGTGAGTCCTTATTGAATCCTTATTCACTCTGAGGTCGCATCCTTACCTGGGAATGCGGGGGGCGGGGGAAGCCTGAGGGTGACAACAGAATTAGAGAGAAAAGACAGACAGGTAAAGTAAGCGAGTGATGGGAGAGTGTTAGGAGCTGTTTCCTGGAAGAAGGCACGGCCTCTGAGGCTCTGAGGTCTAGAGTGGCGTGTTCTCTGCCATCTAAGGCAGCAGAGTCCTGATTTGGTAGGTGGAAAGGCATACCTCATTCCATCACAGGTGTGAACACCAAAGAGAGGAGACACTGGGGAGGATTACCAGGGAGAAGTCTGAAGAAATGAGCTTGTGGGAGTAAGATCTGAAAAGCTGGAGTTAAAGCTCATAAAAGAACCCTTCAAAACTTAAAAAATCCAAAACACGTCTGCCCTTTTGATGCCCTCGGTTACCATCTTACTTTTCCATCATATAAGGAGGTTGGTCTTTAAGAATTCTTTTTATTATAGGAATGTGGGTATAGCTTAGTGGTAGAGCACATGCTTAGCATGCATGAGGTCCTGGGTGCAATCCCCAGTACCTCCATTACGGGGGGAAAAAAAAGAGAATCCTCTTTAATTTCTAAAAGATTTAAAGTTTTCTCCCCCAATTACTTCCACCTTTTTCTCTGTTTGTCTTTCCTCATCTAATGACAGAGAATTAGTGACCAAAGTGGAATCCAGAAAGAACTGGGAGATTATTTAGGAAAGTTTAAATTTCCTAGAAAATTGGGAGGATTGTTTAAAAAGGTTCATGCTACTCAGAGCTCAGTCCTGGCTGGGTTTCATGGTGTCCAAAGGTGCCAAAGGACCACTAAAGCTCGAGACATGGTGGGGGATGGTACAAGATGCTGAACTGGGCCTCTTTTTCAAAATGGGCAAAAAAGATGGTTGTGAAAATTCAGAGGTTTACAATTCCTGGAAATACCTGAAAAAATTTTTTTCACTACTTAATCCATTTGTGAAATTAGGCTGCAGGCAAGCAACCAACGGTATGACTTTGAAAGGTAACAATAGCTCATTAATGTGATCTCTTTCTGCATTAGAATGATTAGACTGTCAAACTGAGGTAGAGATCCGAGTAACGATCTTGACTTTAGTACAGATCTTCATGTTTCCCTCACTGAGGCCTTCCCCAGTGCGCTGATGAGTCAAAGTCCATACTGTTAACTCTTAGGTGGGCATGCAATTGGCTGCTAGTTTGAACCCAAACCTAGAAAGAAATCAGAGTGGTCCAGAGGGGTTATTAGTTCTGGCCATCCATTTTTCGGGCAGGGGGGTACTTTTCATCAGTAAGTTCAATGACAGAGTAGATGAAATGCTCATACGTTTACGGATGATATAAGCTGCTCCTGGTAGGAGAGTGGTGATTTGTACTGTAGTAAAAAAATAACTGAATTCAAAGCAACCCTTTTTAAGATAGAGGGAAAATACAGCATAAATAAGGGCTAAAGAAAAATCATCTATGGGTTAGGATGTCAGAGAGGGGGTCCCCTCATGGAGTTCAGCTGACTGAGTTATGTAGAGACCACATGGGACAAACAAGAAAGCCATGGTTCCAGGGTGCAAAATTGGGAGGAAATCATCCTGGAACCATAGGTAATCCTCCCACCTTGGCTGGTATGTCTCTTAAATCCAGTACCAGGGCCAGTTCTAGGCTGGCTAGAAGAGACAAGTGGACAGAGGGGTGGGGGATTCAATTTAGGATCATCAGCCTCTGTAGCATGTTTAAAGGAAGCCAGGTCACTAAGTCGGGAAAGAGAAGGCTGGGCAGACCAAGGACTTGTGCGTGGCGTGCTTTCTCCCCTTCCACCGAGGAGAACACAGGGCTTCAGGGGAGCTAGAAGTGTTTTCTAGGCAACAACAGATCTCTGAAGGAGTTTATGGAGTCGTGTAACCAGCAAGTCTTTAAAATTCGACTGCTCTAGTCTTCCGTGAATGCAGGGGATGGACTTGGAAATCCTTGAGGGCCTGATCAGGCTCGTGGAAAGTCAGAGCAGTAGCTCTGAAGGACTGTCTCCCTCTCCTTTCCCAGGTAATGTTCAGGCAGTACCTGCAGAGAGTCCACCCCCTTCCGCTGAGACTTTAACCTGGACCCAGGCAAATGACTTATGAAAGAGGCAGTCATCCTACTCATTTAGGTGGTGAGCTGACAGTCCCCCTGGGGATGTTACCATGACAACAGCAAGTCTTTAGCAAGAGCCAGCCCTTGCCCTACTGGGTAGAATCAGAGGTGCTCACTGTCAGTCGCCAAACAGTGCCACTGTCAACTTTCAGCATCACCTCAAGTGCACAGACCAACACTGGTTACACTCCAAGGCCCAGAACTCAGGTTCTTGTGCCTTCGGATCGAGATGTTTTTGACTCACCCGGGCTACACTAAGCCTGAAGCAGCTGTGCAGTGTGCAGGGCAGGACGGTGTTGCCTTCATTACAAATGGTGCAGCATTGGATTTTCAAGTAAGTCTAAGTGTTTCTATTGTCTTTAAAATGACATAAGATATGTCCAGTTATTTAAAAAAAAGGAAATTACAAAATACAAATGCCCGTGTTAATTTAGCTAATATCAGACATTACATTCGAGAACATAGAAAAGCCAAAAGATCTCCAGTTATAAGCACACGACTAAGGAAAGTTATGGATCGCTGACTTTTGTCACCAATCCACGTTCTTTTTTCAATCACCTCCCTGTATGACCTCGCTCAGTTGGTTTTTACATTGTGCAAGACTTGTCTGTTGGCCCCTGGGATGGTGGGGCAGGTCCTATGGTAGGGTTTGTTTTTGGAAGAACAGCAGGTTTTGGCCGAAGGGCTGGGGGCTTCAGCTGCACACCCATTCTGGGCGCCACCATAGGCTTGAAAGTACTCATTGTGTCACTGGAGGAGCTAGTGCTACGTCGAATCTGGGGCTCAGAGCTCCTCAGGGCGACATTGTGCAAAGGGCTGAGAGATTCTGTGGAAGTGGCTGGGGTGGGAGAGTTTTTCACTTGCTCTAAGGTATCCAGCACCACATCGGGGGCATGCTTTGCCGTACTCTGTCTCTCCAGTTCTCGGAGTTCATTCAAAGCAGTATTCATCGTCTCTTCAATATCCTGTTGAAAAATAACCAGAAATGACAGTTGGTACCTAGACTTATTGTGATCATGTTGAAATGCATAGAAATACTGAATCCCCCTCACATATTGTGTCACAGGAGTTAATAGTGCTGTGGGTCATTTATACTTCAAAAATAAACTCATAGAAAGAGAGATCAGATTTGTGGTTCTCAGAGGTGGAGGTTGGGGGACAATGGCAGCTGGATGAAGGTAGTTGAAAGGCACAACTTTCAACCATAAGATAAATAAGTACTAGGGATGTAATGTGCATTGTGATAAATGTAATTAACACTTAAGCCTTCCCCTGATGCTTCTGTCCAGTGGATCTCAATGCAAGTGGTACTGCCCCATTGAGGGCATTTCTGTTATATGGTGTGTGTGTGTATTTTTAAATATCAAAATAACCTGGTAGCATTATTGGCATTTGGTGAACTGGGGCCAGAGATACTGGATATCTTGCAAGTGTCCTGGGTAATCTGCATGCAGTGAATTGTCCCACATCTCGTCCAACTTTTGAATGTCCTCCAAACATTTATAACAAACAATCTGAGTCTAGAACGTAAATTTTTTTTACTTAAATTTTATTGAGTTATAGTCAGTTTATAATGTTCTGTCAATTTCTGGTGTACAGCACAATTTTTCAGTCATACATGAATATACAGATTCATTTTCATATTCTTTTTCACCGTGAGCTACTACACGATCTTGTATATATTTCCCTGGGCTATACAGTATAAACTTGTTTATCTATTTTATATATACCTGTCAGTATCTACAAATCTCAAACTCCCAGTCTGTCCCTTCCTGCCCTCCTCCCCACTGGCATCCACAAGTTTGTATTCTACATCTGTGAATCTGTTTCTGTTTTATATTTAAGTTCATTTGTCGTTACCATCATCGTCGTCGTCGTCTTTTTTAGATTCCACATATAAGTGGGTATCATATGGTATTTCTCTTTCTGGCTTACCTCATTTAGAATGACATTCTCCAGGGACATCCATGTTGCCGCAAATGGCATTATGTTGTCATTTTTATAGCTGAATAGTATAAATATACCACAACTTCTTTATCCAGTCATCTGTCAATGGACATTTAGGTTGTTTCCATGTCTTGGTTATTGTAAACAGTGCTGCTGTGAACATTGGGGTGCTGGTGTCTTTCTGAAGTAGAGTTCCTTCTGGATATATGCCCAGGAGTGGGATTCCTGGGTCATATGGTAAGTCTATTTGCAGTCTTTTGATGAATTTCCCTACTGTTTTTCCACAGTGGCTGCACCAAACTGCATTCCCACCAACAGTGTAGGAGGGTTCCCTTTTCTCTACACCCTCTCCAACATTTATCATTTGTGGACTTTTGAATGATGGCCATTCTGACTGGTGTGAGGTGATACCTCATTGTAGTTTTGATTTGCATTTCTCTGATAATTAGTGATATTGAGAATTTTTTCACGTGCCTATTGGTCATTCGTATGTCTTCAATGAAGAATTGCTTGTTTAGGTCTTCTGCCCACTTTTGGACTGGGTTTTTTTTTCCTATTAAGTAGTATAAGCTCTTCATATATTATGGAGATCAAGCCTTTGTCAGTTTCATCTTTGGCAGATACTTTCTCCCATTCCTTAGGTTGTCGTTTTGTTTTGCTTATGGTTTCCTTTGCTGTGCAGAAGCTGGTAAGTTTAATTAGGCCCCATTTGTTTATTAGAATGTAGCTTTCTTATATTTGATTAAAACATAAAAATTTTTTTCATAGTTTCATTCCTAGAAAACTTAATACTATCATATGAGTGATACTCTGTATTGATTAGAACTGTATGACCACGGGTGGTCCAGCATTTTAGAAAAATCCTATCACTAATGGGAACACCATTATGGAAATTAAGTTGAGACTAATTAACTTAAAAATGAACATTGATGTAAGAGTATTAACTGCATTTGTGGTAAGTCTGCATATAGGTCAAAGCACCTCACTACTTCATCTTCTAGTATAGATAAGTATTAACTGAAATACATTTGTTTTAATACTTCATTTTTCCTATATATTTAGGGCTTTACATTAAAAAAATAAACAAGGACCTACCATATAGCACAGGGAACTATATTCAATTTCTTATAATAACCTATAATGGAAAAGAATCTGAAAAAGAATATATATCTGTATGTATAACTGAACTGCTTTGTTGTACACCTGAAACTAACATTGTAAATCAAGTGCACTTCAATAAAAAATAAAATTAACCCCCCCCCAAAAATGCATTTAGGGCTTGCTATGTTTTTTTTTTTAATTAGGTACATCATCTATCAATTTATTTCAGAAAATAAAGGGGGAATTACAAAATATTTGTTTCAAGGAGCTGAACTGTGCACCATCAACAGATGAATGGGTAAGTGAAATGTGCTCTATACATATAGTGATTATTAGGCCTTAAGGAAGAAATCCTGCCACATGCTACAACATGGATGAATCTTGAAGGCAGTACGTTTAAATAAGATAAGCCAGTCACAAAAAGACAAATAGTGCATGATTCCACTAATAATGAGGCAGTCACATTCATAGAAGCAAAAAGGAGAATGGTGGCGGCCAGGGCGTGGGGGAAGGGGGAAAGACTTGTCCTTAAATGGGTACAGAGTTTCAGTATGGCAGGCTGAAAAAGTTCTAGAGATCTGTTTCAAAACAATGTGAATACCCTTTACTGATCTGTGCACTTATTGATTTTTTTTTAACATCCCCCCGCCAGCACTCTCTAACGTAAATACTGTTCCACCTGCTCATTAGAAGCAGGGATGTTATAGATTTCTCAAATCATTAAATTCAGTTATAGTCAAATATCACTGGTCTTAAATAGGCCTCAAAGGAACCCTGCAAAGCTCTTTAGAAAAAAGCCAAAGAGGTCAAAAGTCTTTTTGATTTTTGCTGATAATCTGTTGTACATTTAAAATTGGTTTAATTTTTTAAAAAACATATTAAACTCTTCACACAATCTAATTTGCTATCCAAAATTCTTTTTTGTTAAGACACTGAAAATAGCTTGGAAATTTGTCATATCAATGCAGGTTTCCTTGAGTGCTTTTTATTAAAAATAATCCATCTTTTAATACTTCCCCCTGTTGGTCTCATTAATTTCTCATTCACTTTGTTTTTTGATCTATTTAGTTTTTAAGCTTCAGTGAGAGCTGATACTTCAGCTTACTCAAATGGCAAACCCTGAATCTAGTCACCTCATTTTTCACTAGCCATACACATTTCCTTTTCTTTTTTTTAATTGATGTATAGTTGATTTACAATATTATGTTAGTTTCAGGTGTACAGCATAGTGATTCGGTTATGTTTTTTTTCTGTTGTACATATATTTTCTGAGGGCCTGTGCTGCAAAAAGAACCAGAGGGGAAGAAATGGTAGAACAATGGGAAAATCCATTAATACTGGTTTACTTTTTACTTTGACAATTTTGATCTTCAGAAAAAACTACAAAGCCCTTCTCTGCAGTCACTGTTGGGAAGTGGACACACATGCCTTCAGGAGGAACGGAGGAGCCAGACCTGCTGTTCTTCAAACGGCTCATCATTATTGCTCACTTCTTTTATTGACTATTCCATCATTTCCTAAGTTGAAAGTGTCACTTTGATCATATGCTAAAAATGTTCTGTTTCAGGGCTCTCCGTTCTATTCTATCAATGTGTCGGTTTTACTGGCTCTAGCACGCAGTTAGGATCTGGAAGGGCCAGTCCTTCCTCTTTCTTCTTCTTTTTCAGAATTTTCTTGGCCATTCAACAATGATGGGTTTGATTGTCCTAGGTCCTACATTTCTGCCATGTCCCTGTTTAAATTATGATGAATCTAATACACTTGGGCCCCTCCAGTAACAAACGGCCTTAAAGAATGGGCTAGTTTCTATTTTCTTTGGTTGATTCTATACAAAAGACTTGGCTCTAGAAAGTAACTTCTGTACACCTCCTCCATCATACCCTGGTTCTTAGCAGTGCAATAGCCTGTTCAAAGCAGCCTACCTGAGCGATTGTCTCTGGGTCCAGTGGCTTGTGGTCATTGAAGCCTGTGTATTGCCCTGATGATGTGGATCTTCTAATAGGAGGGCTGTCGATCTTCTTGAGGGAGTCGTGGCGGCTGATGTTGGTCAGGCTGCCGTGGCCCGGCCGCCGCCGCCTCTCAGGACTGTCACTGTTGAGGCCACGGTTCTGCAGCAGGCCCCGGGGGTGACTGCCCAGGCTTGGGGACCCCAGGTCAATTGCGGAGTTGGAAAGAGCATGTGGGGGGTGGAGGGGGCAATGGCCATCACTGGTCCTGCCAGGACGCCTCACTGGAGGGGGTGGCTCTCCTCTTTTTCTTTGTCTAGACAGAGAGAACAGGAGAGGTTATCACACTGGCTCATACTGCAAGGCTGTGGATACCTCCTCAGAGGCCCTGGGGAAATGAAGGTTCAGGAGTCTGATGGCCAGACTCCACCTACCTGGCTAAATAGCCATCAGGATGGCGGTCTGTTGGGGAGTTCATGTCCTTGGACGAAGACTTGTCTTCAGTGACTGGCCCACTGCTGGCCTCGCTATCGGCTTTCTGGCTCAGAGTGTCAGAAAATGTATCATCCCTGAAACAACGAGAATCAAGAGTGAGGGTCTCCTGCTAGATGAATGGAGACAAAAGAGTAAGTGATGGCATGTACCGATGTAAGTCCTTCTCTTACTAAGGTAACTTTTTTCTTTGTACGGTAAAAAGAATTTCATTGCAGGTAAGTTGGAAAATTCACATACACAAAAAAGCAAAATAACAACCACTTGTAGATACGTATCCCAAGCAGAGGAGAAACACACAGAAGGATATTTTCTAAAATCCTAACAGTAGTTATATTAACAAGGATGTGCACACTATGTATAGTATTCATACTATAGATATTTATATGTTCATATGTATATGACTGCCATGTCTGCAGATACACACACATAATGTTTCTTAGCTTCTGAGACACACATTTTAACATTTAAAAAGTTAGGCTGAATCATTTCGATGACTGTATACTTCTCTTTTATTTATGTTTTATTTTTAATGTAGGCAGTGGGGATTGAACCTAGGACCTCATGCATGCTACGCATGCACTCTACCACTGAGCTATACCCTTCTCCGCCACTGTATGCATTTTATGTGGTATTTTTGTCTTTTCCTTGAATAGCTGTTCGTAAATTGGTGCTGCATTGTAAAGTGCTCTAGTCACAAAATTAAGGTTATCCTGAGCATGTTATTTTGTAACTTGTTTTCTTCACTTAATATTGTGACCCAACGGGAAGGTATCTCCTTCAATATTTTTGAAAGTAGAGCTTTCTCATTAGTAAAATTAAAAAAAACAAAAAAAAGAAGCCTGGAGATGATTCTCTTTAGGCTTGGAGTCAGAATCCTCCCTCTTGGGAATCTGGAATTGAAACAGCAGGCCGACACAGAGAAGAGCTGGCTCTGGAATGAGCAGCGCCACTCTAGCTCCTAAAGCCATTCTCTGCACAGGTTGTTTTTCTAAGAACCTGAAAGCTTCAGAAGGCGCCCCCTCCCTCGTCCTTGCTCCAAACCTGCTGGCAGAGTTTGGGAAATGAAACCCTGCTGGTCCTGCAGGAGTGTTAGCAAAGACCCATTGGCAAGCAGAACTATGCCCAGCTCAGAAGTTTCTGCCCTGTAATCTCATCTGCTCTTTTCTCATGAGACCAAGGTCAATTTAAGAACAGCAGTGGGAGCCTTCTCTTGGGAGCACTTAGGTGTTGGGGGTGGGGGCAGTGGTTACGGGGACTACTCACATGTCCTGCACCACTATGTACTGGTGGGGCACGAGCCCATCAACCCCGTTGTGCCTGCCTTCCCACCAGTCCTCAGAGGCGCGGTGGTACAGCAGCAGGGAGGCACCCTTCTTGAAGGACAGCTCTCTGGCAGACCGCCCCACGTAGTCAAATCTGGCTATTGCTTCTATGGGTTCACATTCTACAAAGAACACACCAGAAAACGGTTTAGGACAGGGTCGTCAGGAAGGCATGGTATGCTAGCTGAATGGTCTGTATGAGGCTGTAGAAGTAAACAAGGCCATTTTAATATCCAGACTGAACAAGGTAATAAGCAAATCATCAAGACAATGAACAAATGAGGCTGTTAAAAGAGATTACAGAAAAACATTCTCTTGCTGTCACCAGTTTCCCAGGCAAAAAACTCCCCTGATCATTAGATCTTAATTTCCACACCCTCTCCTAGAGATCTAGACAGTCTAATAAAAAATATTTAAAACTCTGCAATATGATATATAAAATCTCTCCTTGGGCTGTAATATCCTCCACAATAGCTCCAGTATTATTCTGACATTGATGGAGCTCCCCTGCAACGTGTTAATACCATTTACAACATGGAAGAACCGCTATCCCAGAACACTAAGAAGTTGAAGCTTTAGTTGCATACTTTTTAAAAAATCAAGTTTACAAAAACCACCACCACGTTAAATACTATTTGAATGCATTTAATTTCCTTATGTATTTTTTGGATACTATCAAATCTGGAAACTAGCACCAACAGTCATGACAACTGTTATTTTTTTTCTGGTTTTAGAAGCAAATTCTGGATATTACCTACTCAAAAGACCAGATTCAAAAATGATGTCTTCTGGAGATCAAAAGATAATCAAAGGAGTAATGGTGAGTGAAGAAAAAAAAAAACAACCTCAAAAAGTCACATATTGCATGGTTCCATTCATATGTCATTTCAAGCATGCCCTAACAATTGAGATGGAAAATGGATTAGTGGTTGCCAGGGGTCAGGGTGGGGGAGGAAGGAAATGGCTATGGCTGTAAATAGGGTACCCTGAAGCATCCTTGTGATACAAGCTTGTGTTCTTGCGCTTGACTATGGTTGTGGTCACACAAACTTAGACATGCGATAAAACCGTACAGAACTAAGTAAACACACACACAAAGGAATGCACGTAAAACCGGTGAAATGTGAATATGGTGGATGGAGTGGATCAATGCCAATTTCCTAGCTGTGATATTTTACTACACTTCTGTAAGATGTTACCACGGCGGGGAACTGGAAGAAGGGTGTACCAGATCTCTCTGTAGCATTTCTTACAACTGCACATGAATCTGCAATGATCTCAAAATAAAAAGTTGAAAAAAGGTATCAAACCCTGGGCCAAGAATTGGAACTTCAGCTCTCTTCTAATTCTGACCACAAATATTG